AAAAAAAAAAAAAAGTTGATGGCAATAAGAAATCAAATCTGGCCTCCTGAGTTTAGGACAGAAGTTGCAAATCAATGCCCTGCAGGTCAAGTTGAGTCTGTAGACGTGTTTTATTTGGTCCACACAGTACTCTGAAAATCAGGACTACTTACATCAGATCTGCATTTCCAGCTTCCAGGAGGGAAACACCAATTCCACAATCCTGTGTAATAAAAACTGCCTGGAATTTACAATTGTTCCTTCAAGAAGGAACTGTAGTGAGTGAAATATAGCACAGGGAAAAGGACTGCTAACAGCACAGTATTGCCAGACCTCTACAGGTACCTGAAAGTGAGCTTTTCTTTGGAGTCTAAGAAAAGGATATCAAGGAGAGATTGACACAGTTTCCCCAGGTCGTGAGGATACCTGTAGATAACTGACAATAAAAAATAAAGACAATATCTAGAGGCAGAGCACGGTGGCTCACACCTGTAATCCTAGCACTTTGGGAGGCTGAGGCAGGTGGATTGCTTGACCTCAGGAGTTCAAGACCAGACTGAGCAAGAGTGAGATCCCATCTATACTAAAAACAGAAAAACTGGCTCAGCGCCCTTAGTCCAGTGGTTAGGGCGCTGGCCACATACACTGACGCAGGTGGGTTTGAACCCAGCCCATGCCTGCTAAACAACAATTGCAACTAAAAAATTTTGCAACAAAAAAACAGCCAGGCATTGTGGTGGGTGCCTGTAGTCCCCGCTACTTGGGAGGCTAAGAGAATCACTTAAGCCCAAGAGTTTGAGGTTGCTGTAGTACTGTGACACCACAGTACTCTTCCAAGGGCGACATAATGAAACTTTGTCTAAATAAATAAATAAACATAGAAAAACTAGTGGGGTGTTGTGGCAGGTACTTGTAGTCCTAGCTGTTTAAGAGGCTGAGGCAAGAGAATCGCCGGAACTCAGGAGTTTGAGGTTGCTGTGAGTTGTGATGCCACAGCACTCTACTCAGGGCTACAGCGTGAAGCTCTGTCTCAAAAAAAAAGAAAAGAAAGAAAGAAAACAGAAAAGAAATTTGGACTGGATAATATTAAGAGATTATTGTTAGTAATTCTAAAAAAAAACACAATGCCTTCCCATTGCAGTTATAATCTTTAGTAAAAACAGTGTTCGAAATAGGGATTCACTCTGTGCTGTTGATGTGGATGTCATCTCTTTGTATCTCAAATTTAGGTAGCAAGTCCTGGGAAATAATTTAGAAGCACTGGGGAATAATTTTTACCTTTTCAGAGCTACTGAATTTTAGGGTTGAAAATAACAAGATGAATTATCTAATCAAAATAAATTTATCGGCTCAGTGCCTGTGGCTCAAGTGGCTAAGGCGCCAGCCACATACACCTAAGGTGGCGGGTTCGAATCCGGCCCGGACCCGCCAAACAACAATAATAATGGCTGCAACCAAAAAATAGCCGGGCGTTGTGGCGGGCGCCTGTGGTCCCAGCTACTTGGGAGGCCGAGGCAAGAGACTCGCTTGAGCCCAGGAGTTGGAGGTTGCTGTGAGCTGTGATGCCACCGCACTCTACCCAGGGGGACAGCTTGAGGCTCTGTCTCAAAAAAAACAAAACAAAACAAAATAAATTTATCTTAAGCATGATTAAGAGACACAATGCTAGATGGTGGCGAAGCCAGTCTGCAATGCAGGCTTCTGTGTTGAGACCCAGGCCACAGGCACCTCCCTCAGCGCGCTTCACACAGGCTCTTACAGCTGCCGCGCCGAGGTAGCTCGCAACTCAGTTCTTCCTCCTTCCCTCTTGGACTTTAGATTCTTGCTCTTCCTTCCAACTCCATTTTCCATCTTGGCATTTTAATTTATATTCATCTGATCACTTTCACTTTCCTTGGGAAAACTGCCAAAGGTAATGCTGAGAAGGAATGATAATGAGCAGAGAAAAAAAATTTAAACTGCAGCAAAATTAACATAACCATGACAGCTGCTGTTCCAAGTCTTCCCCAGATTTATACCTACTTCACCCCCTCACTTTCCTGGACACATTTCCCCCCAAGCTCTGTCAATGGACACATAATTGTTCTCTGTCAAACATACCAATCTCCAAGAAAAAAAGGTTTTAAGCCATTGGTATAGAAATAATCAATCCTTTTTCTTTTCCTTTTTTCTATCCTTCATCTGTTCAACAGTTAATGTGAAGGCCAGAAATAAAGATATTATTAGTTATTATCAACTTTTTTTTGTTGAGACAGAGTCTCACTCTGTTGCCCAGGGTAGTGTGCTGTGGCATCAGCACAGCTCAGTATAACCTCAAACTCCTGGGTTCGTGATCCTCCTGTCTCAGGTTCCTGAGTAGCTGGGACTGTAGGCGCCCGCCACAATGTCTGGCTAATTTTTCTGTTATTAGTAGAGATGGGGTCTTGCTCTTGCTCAGGTTAGTCTCGAACACCTCAGCTCAAGTGATCCTCCCACTTTGGCTGTGCTAGGATTACAGGGTAAGCCACCACATCCGGCCTCAACTATTTATTTTTCTTTTCTTTTTTTTTTTGAGACAGAGTCTCATTTTGCCACCCTTGGCAGAGTGCCGTGGTATCATAGCACACAGCAACCTCAAAATCTTGGACTCAACTGATTATCTTTCCTCAGCCTTCCAAGTAACTGGGA